GAAAATAAACTTTCAGATTTCGTAAAATATGGACAATTTCTTGATCAGATGAAAGATTATCAGATCTCAAGAAGGACTCTGATTCATGATGCCTATTAATTTTATCTGATTTTAAAAATTCTCTCACCTAATCGAGGCTGATACCATTAAATTCTTATGCAGGTGAAGGGTGACGTCATTCGAGGGAGAGCTTCATTTGTGTTAATCATACAGTGCGTTCGAGAATAAAGTTACCCCACTGCAAGTGTTTGCATATCCGTTGTTCTGCAATGTCCGTTATGTTTCGGAGTAAATGGATGACATATTGAACATATTGTGACATGTAGACCCGTTGCTGGGCAACGACTTGGGAAACACATTCCCGCAACAACGAATGCGCAGGCAACAATACAACTTCCGTTGCTATACATCGCGCTGTAAATACAATAGAAAAAGAGGTGTTTTCTATGGAGTTCGCATATATCCATTGCTGGGCAACGGACGTGTTTTCAATAGGTCAGTCTCGGAACAATATAAGTATTCCAGTCGTAAATCAGAAATCAGTCTTAGAAGGAGAAGGAGAATGGAGCGAACCCTCGGCAGGCAAAGAAGATGGGTTCAAATGTTTCAAATATGGTCACATTATTCTCGGGCATCCTTCAAAATTATACAAAATTGTACTATATATAGTCGCAACCGTTCAGGGTGGGGGGGAGTATTTTTCAAAATTAGTCCCTTTGAAAGGTAGGAAATCATGAAAATCCTCATTCTGAAAAGAGGGACAGGTCCAATACTCGAAGTGTATGTCCAATGCAAAACAGGAATATATCCCAATCTTAGGATTCTCACTTCAGCGTCTCTGTACAGTTCCGTCCATAATTTTAATTCACACTTCGAGACCCTTCATCTCTTCGTAATACATATTTAACACTATATGTTTCGGCCCTAATTGTCATCGTCAGGTTTGTGAGACTGTAGATGAGTGCTGTGTTATTACCCTGCTGGATTTTGCATTCTACGAGTGAGGTAAAATGCTTATAACATTCTTATGGTGTCACATATTAAGGGTGTGACTATAGACTGTAGTATGAATTGGATGATTGGATTTATTGACCCTCTTGCACACATAGAACTCGGAACTATAGGCTATACAGAGCTGTTGCTTAACTCCGGACATTACATTTCGCCGTTACAAACACACACTAGTGTCCTCAGTCAGTTACAATATCCACTAGTCGTTTCTTGGTAACGGATTTTAACATAGGAACTATAACATTCTCACTGAGTCACACACTCCAATATCACTGTCCTACAGCATTCATGAAGACTATCTCTCACTGCTGAACTCAGCTTTCAACTGAACCCCTTCGATTTCGCCATCATCTGCCAACTGCCAACTCTGGAACTCTCAGTCCAGTTCTCCGCTGCAGCTGCCAACTCATGAGACCCTCTCAGTTCTTCTGACAACGACTTTTCAACTCCCAAGCTCATATCCTGGCAGGCTGGCGTGTCGAAACTCAACAGACTCAAACAATCTTATTTGTCCTTTTTATAGGTCCTCGGTACGGACCGCACTAAAACAGCTCTTCTACTGTTTCCTGTATTTGCCTCCACAGAAATGTGTATAGTGTATACTCAGTTGCTCCGTAGCAGCGGCTGTACACGCCACAACTCGTATCGTGAAAATCCCTCTATTTTTGCGTGCGAACATTGACTAGCAACGGCTATTTCTCTGGTTCTACAGTTCTTGCTCTGGGCAAATACGCCACAATAGGTTATTTTTTTATCGTGGCTACTCTTAGTTACAAATGTGTCTGTAATATATAAGAGGAATGTTGCCTCCTACGCCTCAATTTTGGTTCAGTTTTGATAACTCATACCACAATCTCTTTTCCACGGCTATACACGTGATTACACAAATCACCTATGAAAGGCTCTAGGCTATTTTATAGACTTCACGTCCTATTAGGATTTCTCTCTACTTAGTGCATTAGTATCGCCCACTTGGCCAGAAGACTGTAGGTTGCAGGCCATTTTATAACTTTAGCAAATTCGATAGATAAGCTGATGGGTATATATAGACATCTACACACCTGCGGATCTGGTGTGACACTAACCGGTTTTAATATATCTAACAAGATCTCCCTGTCTACACAGAGTGCCCGATATAAATCCCTGAATTTATGGTGCTATTTTAAATGAAATTACCGGATTAAGGCATTTTAAATTGACAGTACAAATATTGTTTTGAGTATTCTGATCACTTGATACATATATATATAGGTAGTACAGTTTCCAATGCAACATCACATATCATTGGTCGAATCACAACTTCGTCCAAATCTTCATGTAAATGCAACGACGTGATTCTGTCACACAGGACAATCACCAACCACGTGTAATAATTGTTATATTGTACTGTAATATTACACGTATGTAGCCGGTGTAAGTGTTTTTCCGAAAGTTTATTTAAAACAAATTCTTTCCTAGTTACTAAAGGGTTCTGACAATGGAGTATAATAGTAAGCCCCAAAATCCTATAATGCCAAGTTCTTTACTGTTAAAATTACTTCGTTTTTAAAATGAGTTTAATAAATTATGTAAAACTGTGTGCTGTGAGTTGTGATCTTCATCTTCTTATGTTAATTTTATCTTTAAGCGACGTATATTTCGTTGCTGGCATCTTGGTCACGTGCGTTCTGGTGGCCAGAATGTGTGGATATATCATTTATCATTTTATATATTTTAAAATATTCAAAATCATTTTGCGTATTCAATTATTTAAAAAGATTAAATTTGGGTTTTAAAACTTTCGGTTGTAGAGCTCTCACCAGGTATATAATATTTTTGTGTCTGAAATCGTTGCTAAGCAGTGACTTTGTTAAGAGCGGCAATTGATAGGTAACGTCCACAATACAGATAATAGCAACAATAAAACAACAGGGTTTTGCAACTCCTATTCTAAGTAACAGATCGTTGAACATGCCTATAATAATAGTGGTATTGTTGGAAACTTTGTTTTCTATTCGGCCCGTGCAAAGTGGTTATAAAGAAGAGTTCAGCTGAGAATCGGCAGTCGACCAAGATTTTCTGTGGTTTTCTTCGGTCTTAGAGCAAATGCTGAGTTGGTACCCAAATTCCACGTTGCACTGCATGCCTTAAATACAGCCCTCGCATTGGTAACATCAAAATTTCGCCCTAATATAGCCCTCCCAACATTAGCAAAAATTTTACTATAATGCATCCTTTCCAGCGTCATTAAAAGAATATAAGAACATTTTAAAAAATAAAAAAATCCGATTATATGCTCTACGTATACCAGAAGGACAAGCGGGCACTGCCTGGGAACCTTCAAAATCGGAGATATAGTTTCTTATCCCCCCTCCCCAATGTAGTATCGATCACTTCTCTTCTCTCTCTAAAAAAAAAAAAGAATCGACAGTCGAGCTCTACGAGGGAGGCTGAGAAGGTGGCCGAGTGTTACCCAGCGGGCAACGGCGTGACCACGGAAGCTGAAGAATCTCCACATTGTTAAACCTGCTACCAGAGAACGGCTAGTGGAGTGTAATAGACTGAGGACACTAGTCTGTGTGTGTCAATAAACTGTAAAATGTAGTTCCGAGAGATATATGCAAGTGGTCAATAAATCAAATTCACCAATCCATACCCAGCCTATAGTCACGCATTCCTAAATACGTGACAATAGTACAGTACAGTACAACAATTTACACAAAACATCTTATATACATGGTGATGGCGTTGTGTGACCGAAACATGACGTTAAATCTACATGAAAGCATGGACTATGAGGGGAAAATCTATTAAAGATTGTACTATATATACATTGACAATACTAAGACTCACGACGAGGATGGAAACTCAAAGAACTTCGTATCTTTCGAATTTGTGTTCGATTCCTTAAAATGGGTACCCTATTCTCTTCCAGACTCTTGAACTAGCCTAAATGCCACTTGAATTTTAATCGCTGGAGACCATTACAATGGGAAATATCACTACATAGAAAATACTGACTGAATTTCAGTTAATGTCGGATATATATTGCATGCCTTCCTTACCGTGCTGCCAAACTGTATTTAGAATAATCATTTTGTTCTGTACGACACATGGCAGAGATGAATTATACACAAAATTTTAGTCAGAAAACCTGACAGGAAGAAACAGCTTAGGGACTTATTTATTTGGAGGTAAGGTGGAGTTGTCTCCGTGCTTACCTAATTAAGCACTACGCCACGAAGGACTGTAGGAATGGATATAGATTCACGTTTTCTTGACCTGGGCATCAGTTTGAGGTGAGTGGTCAGTTCACGCTCCGGCCGCTTTTCCTCCGGAGAAATACCCCCCCCAGTACCCATTGAGTGGGAGGTTGGGTGAACCGCAGAGCCGGCCTGAACTACGTAGAGAAAAGAAATTTCTTGACCTACTGGGCCTCGAACTTCTACTCTTCAGTCGTCTAGTCCTTAGCCAGTTTATATACCGACTACACTATTGTGGCTCATTTTTTGGAAGATAATATTAAAATATATCTTAAAGAAACGGAGGTGAATTCTGCACTGTATTTATATGGCTTAGGATAGGGTTTAATGGCGGGCTATGGTGAATACGGTGATGGACACTGGGGATCCGTGTAAGGCGGAAAATTCCTTGATAAGCTGAGGGGCTATTACCTGTAAAATGGGACCACGCTTCATGGAGTTAATTAGTTAGTTCATCAATTTTGCAAGACAGCAACTATATTGAAAAACACCTGACATGTTATTAGCCTCTGCTCTGAAACAGCTTCTGTGCAATTTAGGTCTACGTGAATGCCACTGACACTGACCACTTCGTATGCCTAAATATTACGATTGAGGCATCCCGGGAAGTGACGCAGTGATTCACGTGATATTCTTATGGATTTTGAAACTTATGGATAATTGAATCAATTCTGTTATTTTTTTTGCAATATTTCTTTTGTTTCATTGGTTCCTATCATTTTTTAAAGTATTGTTCTCTTCTACCAGATGTCAGCAGTGTTGTTGGTGATATTACGTTCAGAGAGCGCGCCGTCAGTTGGCAGACTTTCCCAAGTTGAATGGGAGAGTTATCATGAACTGGAGCACCAAGTAAGGCTCTAATGTGGAATAAAATCTTAAATTTAAATTTATGTAACTTCCATTAGTAATTAAAACCATGAACTGGAGGGGTGTATGTATTTATGTCGTTCAATTACTTAACTAACTAAACAAATAACGAACAGCTTGGGACAGAGTATTTCTTATCTTGCTATTGTGCGTCTCGAAGTTACATCGTTCTTGTTATAATATGCCCTCCACCGGCCTAATCAGAATGTAGATCATTTTTTGAGAAGTTAATAGTCTCTCAGTTAGTAAAGCTTCAAGCCTTTTAGGGAACCAGTACGTTTCCTATCCCTTTTATGGGACAGAGCTTCTTGTTTCCACCCTTGGCCAGATTAATTCAGTCCTTTCTCTCGTTTAATACACATATTTTTAGTGCTATCGTCTCATTTAGATTTATTACTTCCAAATAGTCTATCCTTTTCTGATATTCGGACTAAATTCTATAAGCATTTACTGTCGGTCCGTGCATACTAGGTTTGGCACTGATTTCTTCCTCGTTAATTTCTTCTGTCTGTACAGCTCCGTCGGGCCGTGGCTTCAAATATTCAGTTTCATGACCATTTTAAAGACGGTAGGGCTCCTTGGATGAGAGATCAGCTCGTCTTACGGCCTCTACCTAAACACAGAATAACATACCAAGCATCATGCCTTGTGTACCATTCGAACCCACTATCCCGGCTTCCGATCGAGCGAAGACAGTTGATACCTTAGACAACGCGGCTACCGTGACCGGCTCCGCGTTGATTTAGGCATGCAAATCACGCATATAAAAAAAACTCCGTGGTTTTATTCCTCAAGCGAACTATTCCGACCGAGCGAACGCCGCTTGTCAGCGAAGTTAGTGCCAACTTTAGCGGATAGAGTGTGTCTGGCAGTCAGCACAACGAATCCCCACGGCCGTTAATTTCGGTTTTCTAGGCCGGAGCCGCTATATCCTTGAAATAACTCCTCAATTATCCTCACGATTCTGAGTGGACCCCTTTCCAGACCGACTACTTATCAGAAAATCTGGTTGCGCCGGGAATCGAACCCTGACTTCTGGATCTGTAGCCAGGAACTCTGACCATTAGACTACAGAGGCGGTCGAATCACACAAATGAAAAACATTATTATGACGTCCCTCAATAAATTAATATTTCCAAACCGCCTAACATTTCATTTTTCTTACGTACAAAGGTTTCCTCAGCATTCTTTTACCAGTCATTCTCTACGTATATTCTATGGTTAGGATGTGGAACGAAATTTCAAACCCATGACAATTGAGACTTCGATGTATTGCTGCGAATATTTTAATGTTTAACTTCTTAGATATTGGCCTGGATTGCATTCAGTTCTGGACTGAACAATTACAGGCATTCCTCGCGTAAAACATGCTTCTAATTTCTTGATGACTGAAGTTTTGATTGGCTACCGTCAGTCCCAAATATTTTACTTTACTCTACGTACTATCGAAAATGGTGGAGCTATACCTTCTCTCGCCGATGCATCTTCATGGCATAGTGTTTAATTAATTAAACGTAGGAATTAAATACAATGCCATGAAAACGCATCGGTAAGTGGAAGTATGCTATCAGCTGGAAGGTCGCGGGTCCGATTCCCGATGAGATAATTGCATTTTTTTTCTTTCAATTGACCTAATCCTTCCAGCCTCTCTATATTTCGGCGGTCGACTCAACCTCTAACATATAATGTAAATGAGTACTAGGAATCTTCCTGGGGATAAAGGGCTGCCGGTGCGTAAGGCTGACAACGTAGGCCGCGCCATACCTGAAGCGGTTAGTCGCTGGTTTCCAACTAGGGCAGCCCGGGTTGATCCCTGGTCTGGTCAAATGGGATTTGTGGTGGACAAAGTGGCGCTGGGGCGGGTTTTCTCCGAGTACTTCGCTTTCCCCTGCCAATTTTCATTCCACTAAATTCTCCATTATCATAATCACCCGGGGCAGACTACAATAGGATAATCAGTGGCCGCCGTGCCGAATGGAGCCAGTTGGACCCCACCCCCACTAAGCGATTTTTTTTAAAAGGCTGACGTCACCGCCATCTGTGAGCCGATTCTCTAGAAAATATGGCAACCTCGATGTCTCACAATCCTATGGGCCTCCACGGCCTGTTACTGGAATAGCTTTGCCTGTAACTTCATCGTTATTTACACTATGATTTGACACCCCTATAAAATACTCGTATTTCCATTAAACTGTTTCAATGTTTGTAACATTTTCCATTTAGAAGTAACAAGTAGCTTCTGGTACTGCAAACCTTCTTCTCTCGAGTCCTGTATGGCATTGTTACTGGTAGGTACACATAAGCAGTTCTGCAGTTTGCTGAGTCCTGACGCTGAGTTATCCTCTGTACAGGGTCCTGGAACATACACCTTTGGATACGACGTGGAAGATCCTGCCAACGGAAACACGCAGTTCCGGCAGGAGGAGCGCCTCCCCAACGGCACAGTGACCGGAAGTTACGGAGTAGTGGAGCCGGACGGAAACGTGAGAATAGTACGCTACATTGCCGACAGCATGGGCTACAGGTAGCTCCATCGAAATGATCTGAATTTGGTCAAAAAGACTGAGTTGATACTCAGTTCCCCATCCTCTCTGGCGCAATTTTCTTTCTGACAAATTTTTTAGGCTTCTGGCAAAAGGCAGGTCTGATCATGAAATATAGTCTTCTGTATAGTTGTTCACAGTTTAATGTGTGTCGCCCTCCCCGCACAAATTTCCATAATTTTCGTAGCTTAATTAAGCATGTTACCAGTAATTCAGTATATTATCAAGGTTTTAGTGAATATGGACTGGTTTTGGATTGATGACCGGATTTTCTGGACTTTTGGATACAGCCCGCGACTACACTTTTTTCCCCCCCTTGGTACTACAGCCCCAGTGGGCCTAGGCCTACCTCCATGAACTCCGTTCACTTCGGTTTTTCTAGATCTTACACATACTGTAGGACTCCTTGGGCGAGTGATCAGCTCGTCGCAAGGCCTCTACCTGTAGACAAACGCAGAAAAAACGCACACAAACATCCATGCCCTGAGTGGGATTCGACCCACGATCCCGGCTTCCGAGCGAGCGAAGACAGTGCATGCCTTAGACCGCTCGGCTACCGTGACCGGCTGCGACAACACTTTACAGCTTATTATTACACATACTCTAGTGTTCACAGTCACGTCTTCGTTGCTGTTGTTTGGTAGCGGCTTTAAACGGCGTACGTTTCCTTTTTTCTGGTTTCCCGATTTGTCCCAGGCCTCAGCTACCAGCTGCTAACAGCAACAGCTCATAACGACAGAACCGGAGCAGTCCTCCAATTCGTTAACTAACTAACTCACCAACCAACACAACTCAACTCACTGCAACAGCCAACTGGTCTTGTTTATAACATCTCGGCTTGGGCCTCGTAGAAAAAATCGTTTCTCTGTTGCAGTGCAATTGTTATGTTTGTGTCTGTTGGGGTGATCACGTGATCGCTACCGAACCATTGCCTAGCAACGATGGTTGCTGGCAAAGCCATTAGTTAGCAGCGGCAATTGTATAGTTTATTTCGCCGTCGTTGCCTAGCAACGGGTCTACAACCTACAATATGTAAAAAAAAAGGAAAATTTATCCCTGTATCAGGCCATGAAGGCCCCTAGTGTTGTGAGGGGTTGAGATTCCCACATTTTCTAGACAATCGGCTCACATATGGCGGTAAGATTGTCAGCCTTACGCACCGACCGCCTTTTACAGTCCAGGAACAATCCTGATACTCATTTCTGTTTGAGGCTTAGTCAACTCCAGGGCTATAGTGCAGCTGAAAGGATTAGGTAAATTGAAAAAAAAAAAACCAATCCGCACTCTAACCCGCGACCTTCCGGTTTGTAGCATAGTGCAATGAATAACTGGATGGTAGTGTATCATGAATGTTTAATTTAAGACACTAACGTGGCATTTGCTTGGGCAGGCTGAGAAAATCCAACAGAGTTTTCTGTAAGAATACGACAGGGCCGAAATTGGAACCAGGCAGTTTCCGGGTATAAGTCAGCAGCAATACTGTTTAGTGAAATTGGTGGGTGTCACATTGATTTCATTTCATAATAATTATCTTATGTAGTTGATATAAGTTTTGATAATATAAGTCCTACAGAAAACAAACCTTCTGATTATCTAAACGTTTGCAACAGTGGCAGATTCAATATAGCGGTATTAAGTTGGATATTGTCCATTTTCTAACGCATATTTTGAACGCGAGACCTTTCAGTTATTGAGCCTCCTCCCGTCTGTGGGCAAGTAATTATCGTTAGACTTATACTGACTGGCCTTTATAGATCATCTTTGACGGTTGGGATCGAAGCCGGGGTCTTACGAGTAGCAGGCTAATGATCTGACCTAAATTTGACTTCAATTAAAACACTAATCTCAATTATTCAATTTATTCCGAGAACAGGGAGCTGAGGAGAATATCTGGACCTACCGAGGAAGAAATAATACAAGGCTGAGAAAAACTGTGTGATGAGGATCTTCATAAATTTTACTCTTCACCAGACATAATTAGAATAATCAAATCAAGGAAGATGGGATTGGCATGGAATGTAGCAGGTATGGGAAAAGAGTCCATACAAGGATTTGGTAGGAAGACCTGAAGGAAAGATACTATTAGGAAGAACTAGGCGTAGGTGGGTGAAGGATATTAAGTTGGATCTTAGGGAAATAGGATGATGATGTTTGCTGTGTCCATCTGGCTCAGGACATAGATTAGTAGCGGGGTTCTGGGAACACGATAAAAAACCTTCCGGTTCCATAAAACACAGGAAGTTTTGAAATAATTAATCAAATGCTGGCTTCTCAAGAAAGACTTAGCTGCAGGGATTAGTCACGTTACCTTGCAAGTGCCGTCTTATCACCTAACCATATAACCAACTCTCTAGCAACAGGAAGCTTCCGAGTAAGGTGGGCTAGGTGTAATACTTTGTACCCGGCAGAAGTTAAATTCGAATTTCAGTTGGGACACCAGATATACTGGCTGAAGGTTTTCGTGGTTTCCCTCAATTCCTCAAAGCAAATTGTGGGATAGTACCTCGATTTTGTCACGTCCGCTTCCTTCCAGATCCATTCCAATCATTCAGTCGTCCCATCATCTGATTCTGTATAGTCTCTATACTGAAGAATACCAAGGGTCAACACAGCTAACAAGCCTACAAGAGTCCTCAAGTGGTCACAATCCAAAATCACTTACATTTTCATCTCACCCTCAAAAAAACAAAAACAAACTCTGTGGTTTTAGTCCCCAAGCGAGCGACCGCTACTTGTCGGTGAAGTTATTGCCAACTTTTGCTGGTAGATTTTGTCGCGTGGTCAGCGCAACGAATCCCCACGGCCGTCAATTTCAGTTTTCTAGACAGGAACCGCTATTTCCTTGAAACAGCTCCTCAACTATTCTCACGAGGCTGAGTGGACCCCTCACACAGGATCTTCAAGTAACATTGCGGTGTATAAACCCGTTGCTAAGATGTGACTCTTTAGACAAAGACCGTTTCTGGGCAAAGGCTAGGTAAATATGTTCCTGTTGCTAGGCGGCATTTTCTTAACAATACAATAATTTGAGGCAACACTAGATCTATGTTTTCTATGTGGTCCGTACCGAGATGTTATAAGCAAGGGGCAAAGTCAGTTGGGAGTTCTCCCCGTGTGAAGGAGGGATCGAATATCTCCACCGTGACCCTGCGAGTCGTAGGAGGCGACGAAAATGAAAGTCTCAAATCTGAGAGAGTAAAATATGGTCGCGAGTCTCCAGGGACTCTGATCCGAGAAAGACGGCACTGGCAAGGGCCAGCAGCATATACAAAAGACAGGCCCGTGCTCTCGTCTGAGAGGGTGCCCAACAAGAACGAGACCGTAAATGCCATACAGTAATAAACACCTAAACTTACTGACTGACTGACTGACTGACTGACCGTCACTCGTAATGTGACTTGGACTTGGGAGTTGGGAGTTCAGTTCTGTGAGGGAGGCTATGGAATGAAGACCTGAGAGCGTAAAGCTGAAGATAGCGTGAGTTGTAAAACCGTTAGCTGGTACTGTGTTAATTTGTTAATTGTGAAGATAAGCAATGGCACTGTAATTAGTTGTACTTACTAGTCGTGTGTGTAAGCAGTCAATAAATCCAATGTCCAATCCAAATGCCGCCTATAATCACCCTTATGCGTGACAATATATTTAACCATAATGTGACGTACGGGTTTGGAATTGAAAGACGTGATTGGCAAGCAGATATGAAAAAAATTCTGGTGATGATCAGGTGTTGCAGACAGACAGGTATATCAGCACACATATAATAAATGTTCTTCAATTTAACCGTACACATAAAACAGTCCTAGGGCCGTAAAAAAAGAAATTGGCAAATATCAGACTCAGACAAACGTCACCGAGGCATCATTACAGACATGGAGGTTGCTGCTTACGTTCTGCAATATCGTTTTGCGGGGGCGGGGATGTCCCGGAAACGTTTCACGTGACTGTGTAGAAAGCGAAATGCGAACATGTAACGCAGTTATTTCCATACGCCACGTGATTTCCACGCAATTATTTCTACTGCGCATTCCGCAGGGCTGCACATTTCTAGCAATTCTTCTCTCAGAGTGAAACTGGTCCAAGTAAATGGAAACACGTAATGTTAATTTGGTAATCTTCGCGATTTCTGTAGTGACTGAAGGAGACATTATTAAGGAAAACTATTTTGGTTCAATATATATTTAGTCACGTGTTTGGGTGACTGAGACGCGAGTTTGGATCGGTAATTGGATTTATTAGCAACCTACAAGTCTTAACTACAATAATTATAACACTATTGCTGATTTACATAAATTAGCATCACTCCACACTAATCTTCTCAGTCTATTTCCACTAGTCTTCAATATCCGTTTCCTGGCAACGGATTTATAGTGCAGGAACTATAAAAGTCTCACTAAATTACACACTCCAAATCCAACTGCATTATAACACACACAAAGTCTTCAAATCACACTTTAAGTTTCACATGTCTTTTACGAACTTCCTGTGAATGTCTCCTTCCGAGAACTCAGAACTCAGAAATCAGAACTGAAGCGCAGCGCCCTTTGTTAAGAAAATGCTTTTGCGCGGACCCCAACGAAAAGCAACCTCTACGGTTGAAACGCGTGTACCGAACCATTGCATAACAACGGTCATTGCGTGGACCCAATAGAAAACAGTCTATTGTTGAGTTTTGTTTACCGAGCCGTTGCTTAGCAACGCTTTGGCCATCCACCTAACAATTTTTATCAGGAGAAGGTAAATGTAAAAGTAAATTCGTCCCTGTGTTCAATTAATTAAGCACCACCCCACGAAAAAGCACGTGTGAGTGTTCTAGCCCCACCACTCTAGACATCAGCACTAGAAGGAGTTGAGTGGTCAGCTTCACTCTCCGAGAGCTTTAACCCCACGGAAAGAGCCCTCGGCACCTATTGGATAGGAGGTTTGGTGGGTGTCAGAGACAAAATTTCACACCCATACAGAACCACAGGCAAATTATAGTTTTGTATATTCTAATTTTTATGTTTTTGGACAGCAGACGAGAAGACAAAAGGTTCTGACCTGAATTGTAGCAAGCTTTACCTGAGTTCAATCGCGATTTCCTGTGATTTTTCGCAGTTTTAAGTGTATCAATCTTTTGTTAACAGGGTCACCATTGAAAACAGCAAGAAGCGTTATGGACGACACTCATCAGCTGGTGGCTTTGTGGGCAGTAACTCTGATGCCGAAGCTATTTATCCACGCCAAATTAACTCCATACCAATAAATCAAATATCAGGAAAACAACAAAATTTCGAATACAACAAATTTCAAAATTCAAAACTTTATTCTCCAGCAAATTCTCTATATTATTTTTACAAAAACAAGCTTAGTCCTTCAACTGAGTTAAATGTATTCAATTAATAAATTAGTTTCTTGTTACTTCACATATTAGAAGTTCTGCCATATTCGCAGCGATGTTCTAAATACTTGCTTACTTCACGGAGCAGTGTTCATCTTAAGAAGTGCTCAGTTTGTCAAGAAATTTCTCGGTGAACCGAAGGTTTATTATCATATTCGCAAAAGCCATCCAGTGGTCTCTGTCCTAATCCAGGTTCACCCACTTGATATTTTCATGATCTGTTTCCTTAAGACCAATTTTAGGGACCCCACTTCTAGAGTATTTTAGACTAAAATTTTGTATGCATTTACCATCTCTCTCATTTGTGCTACATAACCCGTTTATCTCATCCTTCTTGATATTCTTTCATTAGACTAAACGAACACAATCTAAACACGTTGAAGTTCATTTCATTGACAAAGAATCACATATATGTATCATTTTACAATGTATTTTTCAATGTCTATAATATTTACTACTCAAGATTATGAGTATATTGCCGAACATAATTAGACACTAATGAAAATGAAAGAATACATTAGTGCGTTTGTACCTAACCTGTTCACTTACACTCCAAAAACAGAGAGGTCATCAAATGCTGAACCTGAATGTGGGCTGAGAGTCGGTAAGGTATTCAAGTAATTGAGCCTGTTATAGCTTTCACATTAAAGACCACTCCCTTACGAAGCAATTGAGCTTGAAAACCTGGGTTTGTTAGTGAGCATCATCTCCCGAATAAACATCATAGGGAATCTGGGTTTGCTGTAACGGAGCAGGTACACCGCAATATTTCAGAGACCCCACAGTTATCACGCTTCCCTAATCAACGTTAGCTACGCCGCCTCTGAACAGACGATCGTGTTTGCTGTCAGTTCATTAGTTCGCAGTATGACCGTTAACGTGAGTGGAGGCAAGCACATCGTCGTATTGGGGCCGATAGTTCTGACGATAATGTCAACCACCGTGTATCTGGAATTCTCATTTGGAAAAAGGAAACAGTAACTAATAACATTTTATAGTCTTCTGTCTGTAGTAAGTAAACTTGAATTCGTTTTAAGGCACACATTTCTGAAGTGTCTGAGTGGCGCTTGTGGACATATATCGCTAAGCATTTACTTGAGAGCCGGTCACGGTAGCCGAGCGGTGTAAGGCATGTACGGTCTTCGCTCGCTCGGACGCCGGGATCGTGGGTTCGAATCCCACTTACGGCATGGATGTTTGTCTGCATTTTTCTGTGTTTGTATACAGGTAGAGGCCTTGCGACGAGCTGATCACCCGCCCAAGGAGTCCTACCGAATGTGTAAGATCTAGAAAAACCGAAGTGAACGGAGTTCATGGAGGTAGGCCTAGGCCCACTGGGGCTGTACTGCCAAGGTAAAAAAACATTACTTGAGAGGAGCAGGTCTAAAATAAGTGTAAGAGAATTGTATAAAATCTAATATAAAATTAGGTAAAAACGTAAAGCTATCTCTGTAACAGACCGTGGAGGTCGGTAGGGTTGTGAGATGTGGAGGATTCCAATTTTCTAGACAATTAGCTCACAGATGGCGGTGAGGTTATCAGCCTCACTCGCCAGCCGCCCTTTATTCCCAGGAAGATTCCTAGTATTCATTTCTATTAGAGGTTGAGTCAACCCCAGGACTATAGTGCGGCTGGAATGATTAGGTCAATTGAGAAATCCAATAACCTCATCGGGGATTGAACCTGTGATCTCCCGGCTTGTAGCATAGTGCCTCAACCAACTACGCTCCCACGTGCCCCAACATAGAAACTAGTGAAAAAATATTGTACAATTTAAATATATGTTGTCTACAGAATAAAACCCGCAAAGCATATTTAACCCCAATAAAACGGTTTGTAATCCATTTAAATATCAAGCTTGTACAGTACATTTTTGTTCCTACTTGTAAGCACCTGCGTACATAACCACAGAATGGCATGCTTTGGCTATTTATATATGTGGGTACGTTATGTATGAATCACTACAATTCCGAGGTCAGTGATGCAGCACAGACACAATGCTACTTTTAATGTCGTTGAAAATATTTTGTATGACTCTTTAGAGGCTGCTTCTTAAGTTCCAGGTTCCTGAACAATCAGAATGCCTTCAAGCTTTAATATGTACAGTCTCTAACTAAGAACATTGTAACCTTGCGGGCAACATCATGAGTGGGGAGCAGACTCAGTTCACTGTTACAAAAGCGATTAATCAGAGACGAGATAAGCAAATGTCGAAGTCTCTTTGAAACAAGGATGCCATGTGATCTTGCTGTTCTGTTCAAAGTTATAATTCCTTGACGGAGTTCCTGCTCATTTTGTATGCAGATTTATGAATATCTGGATTCCTTGGCGTTACAATCGCCGTAAAATTGTTCCTTCCACTACTATGAGAATTTCGTAGATGTGGACCGATATATAGGGTTGAAGGGAACGGAACACCCTTACACATGTTTCCCTCATTTTACTGCCTGGATAATGTACTAGTCATGTAATATCCTATTTTAAGTACAATAGACCACTGTAGGTCGTGGTGCAAGGGGAGAGAACTCCAACCCCTTATACATTCATGTCCAATTTTATGGACGCGCCATAGCTCAAGCGGTCAGTCTCTGGCTTCCCACCGCGGCGGTCCGGGTTCGATCCCGGATCTGGTCAAGTGGGATTTGTGGTGGACAAAGTGGAGCTGGGGCGGGTTTTCTTCGAGTACTTCGATTTACCCCGCCTATCTTCATTCCACCAAATTCTATATCATCATAATCACCCGGGGCATGTAAAATAGGTTAATCAGTGGCCGCCGTGCCGAGTGGACCCAGCTGGACTCCACCCCCCCACTAAGCGAATTAAAAAAGAAATAAAAAATAGTCCTATTTTACCTTCATGGTATAAAAATATCTGTAACCCAGAGTTTTATCTTGCCAGATATGTGACTGTGTAGTCCAGTGAAATTCAACATATATTTTCCTTACGTGCTCCCCGCTCCATGCTCGTTCCTTTGAACCTGAAAATACAGGCGATATATTCCTCCGTAACACTGGTTTTATTTGGAAGGACGACATGGCCTTATACCCCAGAAAATAGAACTCTTCATAGCCACCCTTGTCTGAACCTCAAAAGCTATAATTCTAACCAACACTGACAGTTGCTGCATGGGTCCCAATTACACAGGGAATTTCTATCTCTGGCTCTACATCTCTTTGTTGGGTCTTGGCTGCTTTCTCACTCTCTTGATCTCTACACAGCCGGTAGGACTCCTTGGATGGAGGATCGGCCAGTCGTAATGTCACTACCTACACACAGAACAACACAAACACAGAAGAAACGAAGACGTACATTCCTGCCTTGAGCGCGATTAGAACCCACGATCCCAGATTTCGAGAAAGCGAAGACAGTTCATGCCTAAACCGCACGTCCACTGTGATCAGAATTGGGAACTTCAGGGAACTTAAAACATGAATTTAAAGATGAGCAAATATTCTGAGCACTTATACCTTCCTTAAGAGTCTCTGAAGGCTCAATTCTATGGTGCTTTATTTAGCTCGGCTATGGAGGACCCATAGCATGACCTCCACGCTCGCCAGATTTGAATCCTGTGAATTTGCACCTATGGGGACACCTAATGCCCTTGTGTAACAGCCCCTGTTGACAATGAAAAAGCATTTCACCATCGCACTGTGAATGTCTGTCAGACTGCCCGCAACTACCTCGGCCCCTTTCAGTGGATGTGGCCATCCATGATGAGACTTGTCGAGACGTGCATTGAATCTTATGGAGGACATTTTGAGCACGTATTATAAAGTATTCTTTCAGCTGTAACTCACTAAGTAAATGTTTATGGACACACGTTGATCTAGAAATTTTCTTGTTTCGGAATATGGAACTCGTGAATATGATCTAAAAGTTAGTGACGATGGTCTGTTGCTAGAAGTATTATGTTTTGGGACATTATCCATCGTCTTGTATATTTTCTAAAAGTCGTCCTATTTCTTTTTAAAAACACAACGTTTCGGAGACTGGATTCTGTCCCTGTCCTAGGTAAAACCTACTCAGTTGGGTCCAACAGATAGAGCTATCCCCTATCTCCAGAGAGAGTAGATTTTACCTGAGTGCAGGAACAGAATCCAGTCTCCGAAACGTTGTGTTTTTACAAAGAAACTGGACGGTTTTTAGAAATAGACAAAACAATGGATAATGTCCAAAAACATAATACTTCTATGGAACTCGTGCCCAAAATTTGTCCACAAATTTTAGTTACGGCCTGCATATACATGTATATACATTCGGATACTGCTAGCATTGTTCTGTGTGTACTCGTATCTAATTCAGGTTATTTCCTTCATAAATATAAGTATTTTAAGATACCAACTTGATTCGAAGAAGAAAATATAGATGAGATACTCATACAACAGGACAGTACCCCTTTTGCCCCACTAATGAGGGGTACTGTTTGAGTTCAGGAAATACTGTGTCATAACTGTAGAAAATAATTGCTTTGTTACTTACACAACAGCATCCGAAATACTATTACATACCTCTCTGTTAATTTCCATAAGAAAAGCAATGAAGAATTTATCTTACTTTCAGTTGCTTCCGGGCTTTAAGTTATAAAATTAACGAAGTTCTCAGCGTGAGCCCTGTTTTATAACACAACCTTCAACGGTACGGCAACCCGTAGTACCCAAGACTCATTGCGATAGGTAGGCGTAGTTTACTTAGTTGCCGCTTAATGTCAGCACTTTCTGCTGAGAGAAAATATGGCCCCCGAATTTCGCCGCTCCCTTTTCTTTTGCAACAGGATGGTCATAACGCTCATATCAAGCTGAGATCAAATTTCAAACTAGACACACCTTTATATCGTCGTTGTATCAGATTTCCATTTTTCTGTTTCAATGAATGATCCACGATTTTGACGGTTGTAAGTTAAACACAGATAACCCACCATTTTGAAGAAATAGACTATGAGGGTGTGGCTTATGTTCAGGGCTTGCGCTCAACTCGGAAAAAAACTAATGCAAGTTGCGTATATGGGTTCAAGTGTGTCATCTGCTCCCCCCACTGGCTCCATTTCACAAATTCCCTCCGTCAACTCAGATGATGAACCGGGAAGGTTAAGAGAGAGAGAGCCTGTTGAAATGAAAGCAACACCGTGAATCTTTATGGCATGCATCGTGTTCTGTGTCATGATATCGCCAATGAAGCCGTCTACATAACACTCATATCTATGAATGTAAACAAAAACTGATCGATACGTTTGTGGCACCTTTCGTTTATTGTGCAAAGGTGTTGCGCTACATGTTTCGACCTTCAAGAGGTCATCATCAGGCGTACTTACAAGAATTCGGCATTAATTCTTGAATTGTATTTTATTATGGATCCATATTATTACAGTTGTTTATTTCTGATAGCGAATACTACCTTATTATTAAATATATTTAATAAATACACATTAAAATACTCTAAAATATAGTTTTTATTCTATTTAGATATTAAGACTGATAACTTTTTATGTAGTTTGAATTTTAACGTTACATAGTTATTAATGTAGTTTTGTTCTTGAAGAAAAAAATTAAATGTTAAAATTAAAAATATTCCAAAATTTTCAAATTACGTACTCGAGTTACGCTTGAAATATAGTTCTGGTTCTAAAATAAGCTTAAAATTAGAAGTAGTTTTTGGAGTCATTAGGCTTTCTCGTAGTTATATGTTGATGGGATGGTATGTTACTAAGTAGCAGTTCGAAGCAAAGTAAGGAGGCCCTTCTCAGAGTCTCTGTAGCGTTGATTTACTTCTTTTGTTGTATAAGGGTTGCTCTGAGGTTTCTCTGTCTTGTGTCCTTCTCGCGCAGTTCTGTTTGTGCAAGCATAAATTTTAATGCTTACACGTATGCTTATGCAAAAGGATCCCCGTTGTTGTTGTTGTTGTTGTTGTTGTTGTGTTGTTCGCGTTGCGGCTCTGTTTATTGTTGTCCAGACAGCCCCATTTTGATATAAGAAACTGGAGGAAAGGACACAGAGGCGGCGTAGTTGTTAGGCAGGTGATTGGAACAGCCTAAGTTTTCATCCTTTTCCTGACCCGACTTCAGTAGTTGCCTACTCTAAACACTGTAATGGACATAGTTTCATAAAAGGCAGTAAACTT